GCCGCGCGCCCGCGTCGAACTCCTTCCACAACGTGCGTCGCCGACGACAGGGCGCCGTCGGCGTCGCCGGCGCGATCGACGCGGGCGCCGCCGCTGGCCTCGCCGACGTCGTTGTCGCCGTCGCCGCCGGCGTCGCTACCCTCATCTCCGCGTCTACCACTGTTGGCGGCGCCGCGAGACCGCGCGCGCCCAAGTCGCCGGCTCGCACTGAAATGCCCGCAAGGAAATGCCCAATGGCTATAGCGCCGCCGCGGCCGCGCCGGAGGCGCCAGACCATCTGGCCACCTCGCGCGGAAGCCGGCGCGGGCTAGCGCGGCGCGGCCGCGCAGATGCACCGACCAACTCCAGGCGCCCAGCGCCATCGCCGCCGCGTGGATTTTGCAGAGCAAGTCGCGGGCGGGCGGGCGGGGCGATTGCGCGAGCAGTGGGGCGGGCGACTAACTGCGGGCAGGAGTACATTTCACGACTTTCACTGCGCCGCGCACGTTGCGCAGCGCACGTTGCGCCGCGCGCCTCGCCATTGGTTGCGCCGCGTAGAACGCGCCGCGTCTATTGCTCCAGATCCCCCCCTCTCAAAGAAAATCGAACCCACCACCCTCCCAGAGGCGGAATCCACGGCCCACCCCCAGGGATGTGCAATTTACGCGCGCCCGTTCGCACTAGATATCCAATGCTAAGCCCCCGGCCTGGCAGGCCCCGATATCCCCTGGGAAAAACACTGCGCGCGCCCCCTCGTTGATCGCAAATCACCGGGCGTCGAAAATGCCATCGCCCCCCCCCCCCCCCCCATGAAAAACGAAGCGACGCGCGCGCGCGTCGTCGCGCGCGACCGCCGAAACCCTTCAAAACCCCAGGTGCCGCAAGGACTTTAACATCGACCGCCCCGCAAACCTGTCTTCTGGATGCACGGTTTTGCAAAGAGAAGTCGGACAACAAAGTGGAATTTGCACACTGTCGCTCGTTCTGTTTAAAACCCAGTCGGCTCAACGCGCGTCTTGCGCGCGCGCGCCGAAATCGCCCGAACGCCCTCGCGCGCGTTTGGGGCGGGGGGGGCGCGACCCCTGTCAAATAATACCGCGCGGGCAACTCGCGCCCGTCGGCCGCGCGCGCAAGTCGAAATAGTTTCGCCTGCAACCTGCGTCGCCGACGCGCGGGCGCCATCGTCGTCATCGGCCTGATCAGCATCGGCGTCGCCATTGGCCTTGCCGCCGCCATCGCCGCCGCTGCAACCATCAGCGTGTCTGCAGTTATCGACGTCGCCGCGATGCCGCGCCCATCCGAATCACCGGCTCGCGCTAAAACGCGCGCGCGCATCAGCGCGGCCTGCGAAACGAGCTGGGCAGCCCCTAGTGGCCCGCGCCGCCGCGGCCGCGTCGGTCGCGTCGGACTATTTGGCCGCTCCGCGCGCAAGCCCTCGCGCGCTAGCGTGGCCGCAGCGACGCACCAGCCGACGACAACCAACCGTCGCAATCGCCGACGCGCGGGTTTTGCAAACCCCGTCGCGGGTGGGTTGAATGGACTTGACCATTCACTGCAAACAAAAGCGAAGTCAACCACATCGGTTGCACCACATAGATTGGACAACGTACATTGGCTACAAAAGGTCGCGCAACACACAGGGCGCCACGCATATTGCAGTACATTGGTTGCCCCATACACATTGCGCTACCTAGATTGCTAGAAACACGCTGCGTGGATCAACGCTGACTGATCCATATATACATATATATTCACATACATACATATATATATATATATGTATATACATACATACATACATACATACATATATATACACATTTCTTTATATATATGGATATGGCTACACACGTGTACGCATACACAGATCTACGTATTTGCGTATGTATATACACGAGTACCCGCATACATACACGCATCCGCAACCCTGTCAGCTGGGACGGCGACGCGTGCTAGAGGGTTTCGGTAAACGTCTCCCCCCTCCCCGTCTACCAGCGCCGACCTGCATGCGTCGCCCCTTCCCCCGAAACTACAATCCCTCGCCAATGGAACGGTGCTCGCACTCCCGAGGCCGTCCTCTGCCTCACACTGCAGCAGCTGAGCGCCCCCGAAGCCAACATCCCACGGGCGATGCGATAAATCGGCGTTCCCGAGGCCAAGATGCCCCCAATACTGCCCAGGATGGCTCCAAGCCGGCCCAGAGGAGGAGGAGGAGGAGGAGGAGGAGGAGGAGGAGGAGGAGGAGGAGGAGGAGGAGGAGACGGGCCAAGATGGCCGGCAACCTTCGAGGCCCCTTCGACTGCCCCGGGCGGCGCCGAGACGGCCCCGCGACGGGCCTCAGGCACCCGCCACACGGCCACGAGGTCGCCGCGACGGCCTCGCAGCCCACAGCGGCCCGAGAAAGCCCCTGGGGGCCCTAAGATGAAGGGGCCCCAGGACACACAAATAAATACACACAAATAAAACTATTCCCCATATCTTCCCATATTTTCTGGGTTTTTGTCTTCCCCCTAACTTCCCATATGTTCCCATATTTTCTGGGGAATCGAGGATTAATTGTGTCTGTGTGTTTCTGTTGCTCCTGATAAGACTGCTTCACAAGAGGCCAAGACAACCACGGGAAGGCCCAAACGAGCTCCACACGGGTTCCTCCACGAGTGAAGACGAACAGGTGTCATATGTGACGGTCTTCCGACTCCTCCTCTTCCTCCTGTTCCTTCCTCTCCTCATAATTATCCTCCTCCTCCTCCTCCTCCCTCTGCTCCGTCTCTTCCTCCTCCTCCTCCTCCTCCTCCCCCATCTTTCTCCTCCTCCTCCTCCTCATCGTCATCATCATCATCATCATCATCATCATCATCATCATCATCATCATCACCATCATCATCATCATCATCATCATCATCATCATCATCATCATCATCATCATCATCATCATCATCATCAGCATCAGCATCAGCATCAGCATCATCATCATCATCATCATCATCATCATCATCATCATCATCGGCATCATCGGCATCATCAGCATCAGCATCAGCATCAGCATCAGCATCAGCATCATCAGCATAATCCTCATCATATTGATCATCATGCTCATCATCATCCTTTCCCTCATCCTCGTCCTCAGCACCAGCATCTTCAGCATCATCATCAGCATCTTCAGCATCATCATCATCATCATCATCATCAGCATCATCATCGTCGTCATCATCCCACCGCAACCACCATCATCGTCATCCTCCTCCTCCTCAGCATCACCATCATCATGGCTCCCCCAACACTGGAGACACGGGGTGTCACGCATGACGGCCTCCGTTGCCCGCCCCCATCGAACAAGTCGCCACCCAGAATGCCCGGCTGGCACGGTGGCGGGCCTTGCCGCAGGCAGCCGGAAGTATACAGGTGTGTGTGTGAGTATGTGTGTCTCGGTCCTCTGTGTCTTGTCTCTCTACCTCCTCCTCCTCCTCGTCCTCCTCCTCCTCCTTCCTCGCCCTTCTCCTCCTCCTCCTCCTCCTCCTCCTCCTCCTCCTCCTCATCATCATCATCATCATCATCATCATCATCATCATCATCATTGTCTTCATCACCAGCATCAGCATCAGCATCATCCTCCTCCTCCTCATCATCATCAACATCATCAATCATCATCATCAGCATCATCATCATCAGCATCATCATCTCACATACGCTCCAGGTAATCTTCGTCACAAGACCCAGGAAGGCCCCTAGAGCGCCCTAAGACACCCAGAGGCGTCCCAAATGGCCCCAAAATGTCGCCAAAATGATACATAAGGGTCTCGGAAGAGCAGGTCGAAGGACCAAACATCCTCCATGCGAGATCCTAGAGTAATCAGAATCGCATCCCTTCCGCCTCCCAGACCTGTCATTGTCACTGTCTCGATCGCTCTCTCCAGTCTCTTGCGCGCTTATGTCCTCTTCTAACCCCACCTCGTCCTCCTCCTCTTCCTCCTTATCCTCCTCCTGATCCGCATCCTTATCCTCATCCTCTTCCTTCGCTGCCAACTGCTCCTCCTCCTCCTCTTCCTCCTCTTCCTCCTCCTCCTCCTCCTCCTCCGCTTCCTTCTCCGACCCTGGCCCTCTTGATATTCCTGGGCCCACGCCTGCACGCTTCGAACGAAATCTCAGCATCTACCTCTGGCCATCGCTCGGACGTCCATTTCCTGTGCTTTTTTCGGTTTTGTGCGTGGTTTTTTTCGCCAAACGATCAAGGATGCTCCTCGATGGTCTTCGCCGAAGGAAAAATGCACACGTCCGAGCGATGCCAAGACCTACCGGGAGCGGCGGCGACTGTGGCGCCAGCGCCAGGAATCTTCACGAGGGGCTCGCGCAGCTTGCCCGCGGAGCTGCTCGGGAGCTCCCCCCGGGCTTCCGGGTGCAGCAGCATGGCCGCCACGGCCGCGCCGAGGTCTCCGTACCTGCCAGAGTAGCTCTCGCCGTTGTACTCGCCTCAATGGGCCCTGGAAACGACGGGGCCGTTTTCTTACCGGTTCCGTTTTGCCGGTTTTTTGCCGGCCGTCTTTTTGCCGGTTCCGTCGCCGTTCTTTTACGGGTGCCCGCTCCAGTTCCAATCCTGGAGCTGATTTTGCTGCCGTTTCCGGTCGCCTTTTTTTTGCCGTTTCCATTTTCAGGGGACACTCTTGCGGAAACGGTGAAAAAACGGCCCTGCCGTTTCCGGAGCCCACTAAGGTACTCGCCGGTGCTGAACGCCTGAGCGACGGCAGACACGTAGGCGGGCGAAGGATTGGATGTGACCATGCGCTGGATCAGCCTCTGGTGGCAACTCATGGGAGCCGCCCATACCATCTTGTCGGCTCTTGCGAATCGACGCTGATCGACGCCATATCGGCGCTACTCGACGCTAACCGACGCGAAAACGGCGCTAGCTCACCGACTCCCAGACGCTAATCGACGCTAGATAATGACTTAAGAGGGTATACCAAGCTCCCACCCATGATTTGCCACCGAATCAGCCGGTACGACACGAATGGCGGCACGTTGGGATGGTGGAAGAGGTGGTCCAGGAGGGCATCTACCTCAGCCAAGGCCTCCTCTTCTCGCACCAACTCGCCAGTCATCCCCTTGGCGAGAGCGAACACGGGCGGATTGCGGAAACTGTACCCCGCCACTTCAACGACACTCTCCATGTTCCTGTAGTAGACCCCGTCGCACTCAAACACCGTGCTGTCTTCCACGTTCCCACTCCCACCTTAGAAGAAAAACAACGCCATGAACAAAAACTTTTGGCGCTCCGCGCGGATTTCGCGGATCCGCGCTGGGCCCTCCTCCCTGGCGCGCGGAGCGCGAAAGGGGCGGCGCCGGAGGCGCCGCCGGGGGGGGCCCAGCAGGGATCCAAGACATCCGCGCGGAGCGCCAAAAGTGTATGTTTACGGCCTATTCTATTATGTGGTGTTGATTCGAACTATTATACGACCTCACTCTATGTGCCTATTCCATTGTACTATAATGATATTAAACGCATGTTCAACTTTATGTGATGTTTCTCCGAAGACCTGCCACGTACGCCTTCACGTCCCCGTCGCAGGGCGCGAGGCAGGTGGCGGAGGCCGAGGGCGCGAAGGCTCCGATGCGCAAGCGCGCCGCCTCGCCGAGGAGCTCCGCCCTGCTCGGGACCGCGGCGAAGACGGCCCGCGTCGCCACGCTGGTGGGGCAGATGCCAGGGGAACGAACAATGACAGATGCATACACTCGGTCGACCCACAAGGGTCGGGGATGGACAGACCCCCCTTTAGTAAAACGTGGTTTAGTGAAAACGACCTGAGGCCCAAACCTGGCGGGCGCAAGCCTGGAAAATAACGGCCGCGGCGCCCTCTCGAGAACCGAAAACGAACAATTCACTAATCGACGTGTCACTGTTGGGGGTTCTGTCCGCTCCCGAAAGGGGGTCCAGCTGAAAGGGGGTGGGGCAATAGAGTATTGCACGCGAAAGCCCAGCCATACATCTGCGCCCCGGAATGTACTGCAGGCCCCAGATGTATGGCAACTCCACAACTCTATTTCACCGAATATATTGCACCACCACCCCCTTGTCGCTGGGCACCCTTTTGGGTCAACCCGAACAATGACACATCAACATGACAACTCGGAGGTCCGCGCGGATTTTTCGGATCCGCGCTGGACCTCCCTGGCGGCGCCTCTGGCGCCGATCCGGGAAATCCGCGCGGACCTCCGAATTCTGATGTTTATGTCATCCTTCGTTCCCCTAGATGCACCCGGAAGTGCTGTTGGTGCACTGGCTGGGGCAACTGCCCAGCGTCGGAAAGCCGTCGGCCCACGAAACGAGGATCGGGTTGTTCAGAGTGTACCGGTCCAGCTGGGAGACCACCTTGCCGTTTGCCAAGATCTCCACGCTGACGGTGCACGTGGTCGGGGTCCACAACGGCATGCTGGAATTAGAAGAAGAAAAAACGGCATCAACATAAAAACTCAGAAACCCGCGCGGATTTCTCGGATCCGCGCTGAGCCCCCCTCCCTGGCGCGCGGAGCGCGCCAGGGGCGGCGCCGGAGGCGCCGCCAGGGGGGTTCCAGCGCCGATTCGAGAAACCCGCGAGGACTCTCGAGTTTTCATGTTCATGTCATTGTTCGTTCCCCTAGGATTGGCCGCACTCGGTGCCATTCGTGACCTCGTCGCAGACGCGCATGCCAATGCTCTCACACATCGCGTTTGCGGTCTCGAAGCGGACCTTCTCCTCAGGGTACGAGCACACGCTCTTCGACTCGAGCGCCCCGTCCGAGCAGTTGTCGTCAGCGTACGGGACGCCCTGTTCCCAGCAGGTCAACCGGCAAAACTTATTCGCGTCCCACCAGTCAGAGACGGCCGGACAACCCATGTTGATCGCCCAGGGCAGCGTCTGAGGCATGCACGGAAGGAGAGACAGCTACACAGACGTAGACTTTCGGAGGCCCGTGAAGGACTTCCCCGGTCGGCGCTGGACACCCCTCCCTGGCGCGCGGAGCGCGCCATGGGGCGGCGTCAGAGGCTCTGCGCGGGGGATCCTGCGCAGATCCCACGACTGCCCCGCGCGGACCTCCAAAAAGTGTACCTTCGTGCAGCCTTGTCTTCTTCGGCTGTTCTGGCACGTGTACCCCAGGTTGATCATCCCTTGCCTGAAGTAGTTGCCGCAACCCTTGCAGCATGACACGCTGGCGGCCGCCGCGTTTGGGTTCGCGCACGTGTGCCTCCACGTCTGGCTGAAGTGCTGGCCGGAGCCCTCGGCGGCGAAGGCCTGGTGAGGCACGGTGACCTGCCCGTTGAAGAAGTACAGGTGCACGCAGGTCGGTGGGACGTAACGGTAGTAGCCGCCGCCGACCTGCACCACACGCAGGGTTTGGACGTCGCACTCTGCGCCGCCGCAGGCGAGCGTTGCGTTGAGCTCGACGCTGAGCTGGATCTGCGCCAGCGCCGCGTACAGCGCCGAAGTGGAGCTCAGCACTAGCGCGTCTGTTCCGGCGTAGCTGTACCCCTCGAACCTATACCGTGCCCCCTGGAGCAGGAAGGCTCGCGGCGGCAAGTCCACGCACAGCGGGTAGCCATCTCCAAGGTAACCGCCATTCAAGTCTGGCTTTGGGTACACGTCGTGCCAATCTCCGATGATCCTCATCGGATCCACGATGTTCCTGTCGCGGAAATTCTCGACATTGGGGCGCATGGCCTGCTCCGCGAAGCCAGTAAACACGCGCGCGAAACTCATGACATGCTCGTTGGTGTACGTAGGAATGTCGTTCCCGTGCGCGTCGGTCTTCCTGGTGCCGTCCTGGTTGAGCTCCCACAGGCCTATTGTGAAGAGCTGCATGATCTCCCTCGCGTAGTTCTCGTCGGGATAGTTCCCGTCGGAGTCCAGCGACCGGCTGTTGACGAAGCTCAGGTACTCCCCCATCATCGGGCTGTGAGTCACCTGCTTGAGAACATCGCGGTAGTTGCCGAATGCGTTCCGCACGAAGATGTCGTAGTAGGCCAGCCAGCACTCCGACAGGTCGTGGGTAGCGATGACGCCATTCACGCTGGCCACCAGAATCTGGGAGAGCGCCCAGGCCGTCCGTTGCCGCAGCTGGTCTTCTGCCTTCAGAGCCATCATGGTCCACACTGTAGTCTTTGAGAGCGCGTTCCAGGTCCACGGGAAGGGCACTTCGAAACTCTTGTCCAGTGCAAACCCGTTCGTGTCGAGGAAGAAGTAGGAGTGGTGCCCCAAGCTCGGATCATTCGCCACCTCGCCTGGCGACCCGCAGGACTCGTAGCCCACCGTCCAGGCTGCCTGGAGCCCCAGGGGCAGAACCTCGAAGCGGACGGTGTCGCCCAGCTTCCCGATGTACTCCAGGTACTGCTGCGCATACTGCCAGCGGCCCATCGGGTGCCAGGAGGGGAACTCGAGCTGGAAGCTGCCCGAGGCCCACCGCTGGATGGGCTCCATGCCGCCTGGGTGCGCGCTGACCCAGTTCGTGAAGTCGTAGACGTTGAGATAGTTGGAGTGCACGTGGACGAAATAGTCAGCGCCGCTAGCGACGACGGCACCGGCCGACACACTCTCGCAGCTCACGTACACATCACGGAGGGCGCCCGTCTCCAACGCAAGGGCCGATGCCACCGCGGCGGCCTCGGTGGCGCTCATGGCGGTTGCGCTGCAGTCTTCCGAGCCGCAGTCCAGAAGCCTCCACCGCGACTGCCTCCCACATGGCGACGTGGTGTCGCTCAGGCCCGTGACCGCGTACACGTACCTTTACCAGCCCCGAACTGATCTCTATCCCTGTCCCTGAGATTGACACGCCAAAAGGCGATGACAATCTTAGGGAGGCGCCCTCAAAAGATAAGGGAATCCCTGAGACTGGCATCGTGATGAGGAGATGCCCAGCATAGGGATAGGGATATGTTCCAGGCTGGTAAGCTCGGGAGCGGCCAAGAGGGGGGTTCCAAGAGGGGGGGGTGCAAATCGTGACCGGCGGCATGTGCGCGGCCCAGCGGGGGGGCCTGGGACGTAAGGAAATAAGAAGAGGCATCATGAAATCTGAGGAAAAATCATGGCCCGCGCCATAAAATCCCCCCCCCCCTAGTCATCACCCCCCTCTTTTCCGCTCCCGGCAAGCTTCAAATGAAAATACCTCCCCGAGAAGTTCAGGAAGTATTCGAAGGTCGCGGCGTCCAGGGTGAACGTCGCTGGGGGCTGGGTGCCCCCCACCTCCAGGGCGCCGCACGCGGCGCGCAGCTGGCAACTCCCCTCGTTGAGAAAGGTCCTGAGCACAGCCCCCTCCTCCTCCTCCTCCTCCTCCTCCTCCTCTCTCCTCCTCCTCGTCCTCGTCCTCCTCCTCCTCCTCCTCCTCCTGCTCCACCTCGTCCTCCTCCTCCTCCTCCTCCTCCACCTTTTCCTCCTCTCCTCCCCATCCTCCTCCAATTCCTCCTCCAATTCCTCCTCCTCCTCCTCGTCGTCCTCCTCCATTTCCTTATCCTCCTCCTCCTCTTCCTCCTCTTCCTCCTCCTCCTCGTTGACGCTGTGATTCCCAGCGGGGCCCATGTTCCGTGGACCCTGCGGGGCACCTGCGGGGGTTAACACAATTCCAGTTGCGGGGAACAACACAACACCAGCTGGCTCGCTCTCCCTCCCAGGCCCCCGATCAGCTCCACGCAAATTGGCTCCGTCCTTCCCTCCCTCCTCTTCTTCCTCCTCCTCCTCGTCGTCGTACTCCTTCTCCTCCTCACTGCCCCGACCTGCCGCAGCTGGTTGCGGGGAACAAAACAACACCAACCAGCTCGGTCTCCCCCCAGGCCCCCGACCAATCCCGCGCCAGCTGACGAGCATATTTACGGGGGCAGCACCGCAATGGATGTGGGTTTCTCGGCTGGGCCAAATCGGCGAGGATCCCTGATGTGCGAAAATTCGCGTGGTATCTGCGTCTGAACTTGCCTGCACACAACGCAACATTGGGTCAACGCCTTTGGACTCAAGCGCACACCGCCGTTGACCGCCGCCCATCAGAGAACCGCCCATGGTAAGATGGGACAAACAGCTCCCTGTCATCGCAATCGCCGAAAATGGCATGAAACTGTCATATTGTCACTAACGGCCCCTGAATGACGTTTGCCTCACTCCCGAATGTTGCCACAAGGCGTCCTCATCAACACTCTGACCCACCTTTGTCAGGACGATCGGTTCGCACTCTGGCGTGTAGCCGCCATCAACATATCCTCACCGCGTGGCCAAAACAGCCGCACCAGATGTTCACCCCTGTGCGCCAAAAATCCAGCATCATCTCCTGGCCCCCTGGTCTAAACCTGTCAGCTATGCTTCCCCCTGGCTTAAGACTGCCAGCGAAGCATCCTTACCCGCCTGGCCTACACCTGCCTGCGAAAAGGTCCCTCCTGACCTTAGGCCACCAGCAAAGAATGTTCACCCCTGACCCCAAACATGTCAGCAACAGACCCTCACGACCTGACCTGAAACTGCCATCGAGCAAGAATCCGTTCCTGGCCGAGCAGTGCCGGCAATCTATCCTCACCTCCAGTCCAGAAGCTCCCATGCGGGGGCTAAGCTGATCCACGTCAACTGGATGGGGCATGTCTCGTGAAGAAATGCGGGCGACGCTCGTAACGCATGCGCCGTTTTGGCAGTCGAGCCTATACTCGCCAGGATACCCTGGGGGAATGCGAATCAAATGTTCCGTTGTAGCCAGCCGCAACAGCTTGATTAAAAACGGTAGCAGTCAAACCACGCATGCAAACTCACGCGATACAAATTACGCAATACAAATTCCCCTCGAGCCTCTTTGGGGCCTCAACAACTCTACAAAGAGCTCCAGGTATCGCTGGTCGTCTTGGGGCGAAGCGCGTCGTTCATCAAAGAAAAGACTCGTGACCAGTCCGCGTGACCAGGCACTCCACGCAAAACCTAACTCGAGACGAGCGCGGACAAATTCACAGGTAGCGGAGCGCGGCGATCCACTCATTCACTCATCGTCACTCGGGACAGGCACAAGCCTCATCGAATGGCTCAAGCGTTCACTCGGCGGTCACAGTCTCTGGGAGGCACCGCGCCACGGCTAAAGCTCGGGACCCCCGCTGCGACCACTTCTGGTCTGTAGACAAGACGCCCAATTCTGCCCGCGGCATGTTTAAAGCGCTCCGCTGGAACAACAGCGCGCAGCTCCATCTTCATGACTGCGCGCGGGCGTGCCCGGCTGATGTCAAGGAACATGAGCGCGACGTGGCCTTCGGGATCCTGCTCCATAGTCACGTCCGCGACGTCATGGCCGTCGACTCAAACATCCGACTTGCCTCCAAGGGCGGCGCAGCATTGAAGATCGCACCCTTGTCTTGCGCGTCGATGGCATTCCGCCTCTTCGTCTCCATCACCGCGAGACGAGGTTCGCATCCACCCAGCGCACAGGAATGGGCGACTTCCCGCCCGTGCGATCCACCGCAAAGTCCCTGTCGACGAACTCCCAACTGTCCAGGTCGTCCTCCTGGTACCTCATCTCCTCCTCCCTCGCGTGCCCGACGCGTCGTCGAAGAACTCCGACTAGGGGGCTCGGCTCACCGGCTCTTGGCAACCTCTAGCGCCTGGCAGTCGGCGGCGCCCTCGAGCCCCGCCGCCTCGAGCGTCGGGCCGGCGCCCAGTGCGCCCGCGAAGCCGCCGTCGTCGAGGCCGCGTCGACATGCGCGTCGGCATCCTCGGAGGACCGCGTGGATCAGGGCGACTGGGTACCTCTTAGCATGGGGACATCACCCGTCTAGGGCGTCGGCATGGCTGCGCGCGCGCGGCGCGTGGCGGTTGGGGCTGCCCACCGCGGCCTCATCTAGGATGTCCGGCGAGTTGCCGCACCACCCCGTCGGCTTCATTACTGGCGCCATCTCGCCACCACGTCCTCGG